GGGGTTTTGGTTAAGATCCTAAACTAAACCTAATCTAATATTCACAAGAAATGCAATGCAGGATGAATTGTTAAAAGAAACATCTAAAGCATATCAACTCAAACTAAAGACTCTTAAACTCATAGGTGGCGATTTAGACGTCTCGGCTTTACTCTAATCGATGTATGATGGCATTTCCAATTAGCTTCCGGGCGATTGTTGATCCACTTTCCCCTGCGACGGATGGATCTTGACTTCTTCATCTGTTTCTGGGAATCTGCATTGACCTGGAATAGACATATGTATGATTAACCAACTGTCGTCACCTTAATCAACTAATCTCTTAGATCTAGCAATTAACTCTCGATCTTATGCTAAACTTAAGATCATGCATTAGACATTGAATTCGTCTACTCACATCTTCTCTATAGGTAGCTCTCGACTCCTATAGCGACTATGTTATTTTGAAGCTAGGTACGGATGATCTGATACAGCACTCTTGTGGCTCTGATTGATCCTAGGCTCAGATAATAGGTCATGAATCTACTCTCATGATTTATGAACAACTTAGAAGAGATGATATACAGAATATGGCTAAGAACAATAGAAATCTTAATCGATATATATGCTTGTTGATATCTTCAAACGACTTGACTCTCTGTGACTAATCTACGTGATGCAATGAATGATAAAAGACATAGAAGAATGCAAAAAATGAAACAGAAAAGTTAAATAGATAAAAAGGAGAAAGAACAATGGATCTGGGGAAGAATACCCATCTCCATCGCCTAACCCTAGAAAAACAGAGTTTGGTGGCTCAAAATCTCATTACAAAAGCACACACCCGTTTAGGGCTGCTAAACAATGTATTTATAGGTCCTAAGGTCTTCCAGGTCTCATTTAGGGCTTCTCTGAAGAGAAATGGTGCAGTGGGCTTTGATGTTGGGTCTTGTGGCTCGTCCTAAGATCCACCGGGGGTGAGAGTCTTCCAGGGCATGTAAAGCATGTGTTTCCCGCGGGTGAGAGTCTTCCGGGACTGGTGAACTGGGTCAACTTGTTCTCCATGTATCTTTTGATTGCACCGTTGGATATTTGTGATGTAAAGTGCTATAGAAAGATGGTTGCTTCCTCTTGATTGTCTCCAAATTTGAGCTGGATCAGACGGTGAGAAAGTCTTCATTTGAGGCTGAACTTCTGACGGTCTGACTCTGAGCTAAAAATGTGGATTTCTTCTATTTTGCCATCATATTCCCTAAATTTCCTGAAAAGAGCCTTGAAACTACAAATACATGGAAATCATAATAAAAGTTTCTAAAACTGATTAAAACCTTTGAAAAAACATTTGAAATCAATGGTGAAAAGTGGTCAAAATCAGGTATTATCATCCAGCTATTAATCTGATCATGTTGTCTATCTGCTACATAATTGAAAATCTTGGTTTCGGCACCACCCATGCTTTCAGGGATGCCAAAATAAGATCACGCTCCACCATTTCTCGTAGTTTCTAGTTTTGGCACCACCCATGCTTTCACTCCACTTTGTACTTTCTCTGGGACCTGATATATCATGGTTTTTGACCATGATATAGGCCTTATTAATAGAGTAATTTTAGTGTTTTTCGCGTCTTTTGGAGTCTTTTCAGGTCTTAGGTACGTTTGGAGCTTAATTGGAGATTTTGGAGCATTTTGAAGCTAAGCAGGGATCAAATTCATGAAGGGTGAAAATATGTGTGTTTGGTGTCGCTCGACACCGGTTTCGTGAATAAAGGAAAAACGTGATTTTGTCCTAGTTTTGAAGAATCTCTTGAACCCAGAAATCTCCAATATTTACAAGGAAGTCCAACACGTGTTTTTAGTATTTATTAGGGTTTTCAGTCACCTGTTTTGGCTTAGGCTTTATTATATTTTTCATACTTGGAGAGGAGATTTGAGAGAGCTTTTGGGGAGACAAGTCTGAGACTCTGAGAGAAGATTTCGAACCCCTATTTCTTAAACTCATTATTCTTATTTGCAATCTATTCAATCATATTTATTACTTCAATATCCATGTCTGAGTAGTTTGTTTGTTAGGTTTAGGGTTCTCACAAATAATTTCATTGGATGTTAGATAAATTGATTAGTTAGGGTTCATAATCTATTAGTTCTTCACCATAGGTTAACTGATTGACACAAAAGTGTAATTGAATAACTGGAAAGAACCTAGGGTGAGCAAAGTAGCTATCCGCAAAAAAAATTTGTTTAGACACTTTGTGAACATATCAAACTTGAGCTTAAAGCTGGTTTATGTCTTTAGGATTTGCAAAAAAATTTGGGATTCTAGGATTTAGACTTAGATAATTCTCGCAACGACAGTTGGTTAATTATAATTTCGTTATTTGAGTTCAAGAACTGCACTTAAACCTGAATCCTGATTTATCGATTAATCTGCATACTCTGATTTCCAGAGAAACACCATGTATTTATCTTTTTCCCATCGAGTCCAACCGTTTTGCCTACATTGTTGCTTTTAATTTCATTGTGTTTGCTTAGCGTAATTCAAGCCTAGATATTTTATTGTACGAATTTCTCGTGTCTGTGGTTCGACCCCTGCATACTACAATGGCATATTTGTGCTCTTGCAGAGTAGCTCTAGGGATTAAACTTTGGGCAGATCAGGACCGTATGACAAAATTGAACCGATGATTTTTCAAAGTTAATTTGTTGACCTGAAACACTTTCATATTGTTGTAGTATTTGTAGAATCTTTTGGCACTTTTCCAAATTTGCTTTCTAAAAAAATAAAGTATCATCCGTGAAAAGTAAATGTAAAACTGTTGGACTAGTTCTCGCTATCTTAAGACCCATTAATATTTTTTCCATCTCTGCTTTGCTTATGTTGGTTATTAGAACTTTAGTGCATAAAATAAATAAATATGGTGATAGGAGGTCACCTTGACGAAACCCTCTCTCCGATTTATTTGTCCTTTAGGTTGTCCATTTAGCAGAACTTTATATTGTACTGACGATATACATCTCATCATCTAATTTATCTATCTCTCCGCAAAATATAATTTTCTTAAAAATTGTCTATAAAAAACAATCCAACTCTATCATAAACTTTACTTATATCCATCTTAATTGTCATATTTTTATCTTTACATGATTTATTGGTCCCTAATCTATAGAACATCTCCTTAGACAATAAAAATATTATCCGAAATTAACGTCAGACACAAATAACAATTTATTTTATTAAAAGTTGCATTTTTAACATATATGTCTTTTCAATGTTATTGATATATCTTTGCATCAATATACTCGTTTCAGTTGATACTCAAATTTTAATTTGACAAAGTATACATACATTATCGTCATTTCTCTATTTCCAACATACCTAAAAGTTAAAAATTATATCAATTTCATTCTCTTATTCTTTTTATAACTTTGGGTGCTTCATACTTCACTTATTCGTTGCAGAAGTCTTTGGTTATTTCATATCAAATATGTCTCTCTGATTGTGTGACTATTTTCTTACAAATTTTTTTAGTATTTTTTTTATGAATGCGTGTTTTATATGTAGATTTTGGAATCAGATTCTAGAAATTAAATTTACGTCATTTTCTGCATAACTAACGCTTTAGATTAATATAACTGAAGTATCTAGAGAAATTCTCTGTTATTAACATTTCTTTTCATATACTTGGACACGTTGTTTCCACGTCGTCGTCCATGTTCTCTATTTACAACGATCGCAAACTTCAATTTTCTAACTTTTAGGTTTTGTAATATGGTATCTTAGAGCATCTGCAATGCATAAATCCATATGAGTTTTTTTTTATTTATTTTTTAACATTAAAATTGGATAAAAGATTTAGTTAAAAGACTCATTGCTTTTGTATGGCCCAATGGAAGGTTTCTTCTTTCTTCATCAAAACTGCTTCAAGTGGGTAACACTTGGAAAAAAAATTAAACAGATTTTGTTCTCAACTATGATAAATAGAAACGTAACAGGTAGCTGTAAGAAACATTTCTTTCTGTCCTTAATTAAGGGACGTTTCAGCCCTTTTTCTCTTCTGCATTTTTTAATCAAAAAATATATTAGAGACGCTGGTAAATACGCGCGTTGCAAAAGGTCTTACTTCTTTAAACATATAATATAGATTTTAAGTTAATACAACCGGACTCTTATCCTTCATATTTCATTAAATTAATTTTCTTTTAAGACTTCTTCCTTATATGTAAAACAAGTTTGTGAATAAAACAAAGCATCATTTGCTATCACTTAGATAGTTTTTTTTCTTAACATATCTAGTGAGTTTATGAAAAAAAAATCATTATCTCCTTCTAGATTCGATTCTAGTTACTCTTTGAATAAATAAGCATGCATTGGGGTCTTTTAACAAAAGATATTAACAATTTCTGGTTTGTATATATATATTTTTTTTGTTGAACAAATTTTGGGTTTGGTTTGTTATCGTATGTGTAGCCGTTTATTTTATTTTATTTATTATCATTATATGAAATTTGGTTTAGTTTTGAGTTGATATATATGGTTCATATTTTTGTATCATTAATAAATTTTGGGTTGATAAATTCTTTTTATCGTTATATGAAATTTGGTTCATATATATCAACCCGAAAGTTTTTATATCGTATCACTAATCCCTGCGCTGGCGCAGGTGTCATGGCAGCTGCATGACAAGTTCAACTGTTCAAGACACCTACAAGAACTTTCGACTGCCCATAGCGACCGCCCATAGCGACTGCCCATAGCGAGTGACCAATCCCATTTTTTTTTTTTTTGTGATATGTTATGGGACCAAGGAAATCGACAAGACAAAGCAAAGTCAGGTAAATTTGGTTAAACGAAAGTAAATGTATCTTTACTTCATGCAAAGTGACAAGAGTAACAGATACAAAAACATATAGGATAATAATGTAATAAAACCAAATAGGTAGCAATAAGACAACATAAAACCAATAACACACATAACCGTAAACAAATGGAACTCAAAACTGATAATAAAACATATGACACAGAAACGACGAGGTTTGAATAAGATAAGGAAGACTGTCCGTTGTCTTCATTGTTTCTACGTAAGCTCGAGCATATTTGCTTTGCCTGAAGTCCAAACGATTCTGTGACTTCTGTTAGTTGCCAAAGAAGTAAACAGTCGCAGCAATGAGCTGAAGAAGGTTAGAAATAACACACAAACGAAAGGGGATGAGAGTAAACCACTTGTGCCATATACCGTGAGTACCATGTTGAGGTGTACTTGTTAACTCCCTCAAACACATCCCGTAAATAACTTCGACTTATGTCAAATACAACATCTTTACAGATATTTTTGAAGAACTGGGATACCTCATTGTCGCTGCCAAAGTAGTTCTCTATGATCCGGTTGTCGTCGCTCAACAAAACTGCATCTTCCTCGCGTTTTAGAAGGCATCCCATGAAAATCACGTAGCTTGTTATGTCGTTTGTACCCTTTGTGTAAAACTGTTCATAGGCGACACAGTTGAGGAAGAGTGCGCTTATGAATCCATCCAATCTTAGCAATGGTATCTGAAGTCTGTTCTTCTTTAAACTTATATCTAATACCGAATCTGCATCTCTCTTTAGGCTGAACGTTATCCGTTGGCGGTAAAGTACGGTAGCCGACAATATCATAGAAAATTCTGAGGATGATTTAATTGGAGATCCATCCTTCTTGAGTTTAAAATCTTCAAATTTACCCTTAGATCCTCTAGTAGGTACGAAGGTCATACGAATGAGGTCAAGAAGATGTTTTGCCTCGAAGATTGTTTGGCTCAAACGCTTCTTTTCTGGTATATCTATTGAGGAGTTGAAGAAAGGATACACCATCCTGTTTACGTCACCAGAGATATCTATCTTTGATCTTTCTAATAGAGTTTTAAGAACAGTGAAAGGAACCTGATTTTCCAAGAAGAGAAGATCACTCTTAATAGACGGGAGAATCCACGGGATCGTGAAAATTGGATCCTCTTTCTTATCAAAGTCAATAACTCTTGACTCGATAAGCAACAACATGAGAATGAAGCACCCATCCAGAATCATTATATGCACTAGTTCCGATGAAATATGCCGAAGATCCTCGGAATAAGAACTCGTAATAGTTTCTTTCAAATCCATTACGGCCTTAAACAAGACGTTTTTTTCCACTCCCTTCCCTCTTGCCTTATCTAGGAAAAGCTTCAGGAACCGAGGCTTGTGCTCTTGAATCATTTGGAGGTGCTTTTCTCCGTAATGGTAAGGACCAATTGAAACAACTTTGGGCTTGTAGGCTTCGGGGTTGACTTCTGCGAAGCGTTCAGGGACTCTGAAGATGCAACAAGATTCTTTACCAGCTGACTCCTTGAGAAGCCGTGGATTTAAGTCTAAATCATCAAGCTGTAATGAAAAACCCCCTGAAGTGGGCGAAGTGGGCGAAGGTGATGAAATTGTTTCCACTATGGCTGCCATGATTCAGCTCCACTTGGATCCTGCTTTCCTCTGTCAAGAGACAAGATCGCATCCAAAATTTAAAATACATATCGAGATCTTGATTGGAAAAGAAAGAGAAAATCTTACTGTGAGGGATGGATTAGTTTTGAACCCTGAGTTCTGCTCTCTTGACACTTCTCTTCAGAGAGCTTAGGTAGAGTCCACAGAAATTTAAAGTCTTTTTCTTAGTTTCTTGTAAGCTCTTTTTCTATGGGTAAGTAAATTGGTAATAGTTGTAGTTTTTTCTTTCCCAACCACACTTTCAATTAAAAATGAATTCTTGATTGGTTGTTCAAATAGAAGGAAAAATATTTTTTAAAATCTTGCAATATTTTTACTATGATTTATATTTTTTTTTAATACTAGATAAGTATCTCATGATGAGGATAAATTCGATCATTCCTATATGGATGAATCGCGTGATTGTACGTGGCGTTCATAATTTTTTTGCAGGTACGGTCTCTTGGACCAAATTAGGATTCATATTGGGATTACGGCGCAATGTGACCTAAACTTATAACACTAGGCTTCGAATCCATTTAGATTCGGGAGATCCGGCATGATAGACCACTGTTCATGGGTTCTTCGTATCTGCCACTGCAGGCCACACTGTCAGAGACAAGGAAATCAGAACTGATTGGTCGGGAGGAGGATATGTCACATTTCTTATGTCTTAGGCCTAAACTCGGGAATCTGAAAGAGTCAAGATATAAGGAGTGTGACCTTTACAGGTACCCGGAAAATGGAGTCGCCCATGGAGGCAATCCCGACAGCCTGGTCTCAGTATTGAGGGATCTAGGCCAGATATGAATAATCCTATGAGCGGAAAACACTGTTCAATTTTTTCTTTATTCGACAGTGAAAATATGCCTTGGTCTGATTTAAATTACCTTTACCTTTTCAAACCCACAAAATTGACATTTAATGTATAGTTCTTACACGTGTCACGTGACAATGACCCTTCGCAGAAGCCAGAGGAAAAGCAGTGGTTCAGCAAATGTCATACCGTGTCTGAACCGCTGACTCGACTCATACATTGGGATGAAAAAAAAGCGCCAAGGAGCGGTCTCGCAGTAGACAGAACACACCAAAGAAAGTTGGTTAAACCGTCAGAGGCGTGACGTAAGCACACAATTCGGATCCACTCAAGACGGATCAAAGACCGACCCGCCCAACTCATGACCCAAGGACCGACCTGATATACTAACTCGAGTTAGGTAAAATCATATAAATACTTTGTTCCTTCCAACGAGAAAATGGTTCACTTTTTTCGCTATCTTAAGGCTCATATTATCTCTCTAGATACTTGTGATACTTGAGTTTTAGCATATACTACTTTTCGGTCATCACTCCGACCAACTCTTCAATTCCTCTCCCCGGCGGTTCTTAAACCGTGGAGCATTTCCACCTACAAATTCTTTCATTTTTTTTCTTTTCACCTCAAAAAACTCATCACCACTTAAAGGCCAGAGTTGATTCCATCTTTTTAAGGAACACTCAGCCTACTTTCATTCTCTTATTTTCCGATCTCTTTCCTCTCTCCGATTAGCCACTTCTTGTCTGTTTCGTGTTTTCTGACTTGAGCGTAAGAGAGCCTTCAGAAAACACATCTCCATCGTGTTTTCTAGGCCATCAGGTGTTTTCTGGTTTTTGCAAGAGACTTGCCTCCGCAGAGAACTAAAAATCCCCTAAATATCTTTAATATATGAATTTGTAATTTAATATTTGTATAATGATGAAATAAATATATATCTTGAACAAAAAAATTGGTGAAGCAGCAAAAAATAGGTTTTGATACAATTATTATAATTTAACATTTGGGTGTGTAATTTCATTTAGAATTTCTACAGTACAACAATATAAGTACTTTTTGACACGATGTTAGATAATCCTTTTTGTTATTTAAATTTCAACATCCAATGTTTCTCTCTAATTATTTCTGTAAAATAATAGATATATTAACAAAATAATATAGGTACTTTTTTCTTATGTAACCATGTAAAAAATTACATACAGCTTAAAGTTTGGAGAAGTTTATTTGGTTATGAAATTGAGAAGCTATCAATTTGGTTATATAGGGTAGAGAATTAAAATTCCTTTTCTTTTAGGATTGTAATTAATTTTGATTTTTCCTTAATTTAAATATAAATACTAATTGGTTTTTCCTTTTTTAAATTTAATTTTTAGTATTGTAAACTATTCTTTTATTTTTTATTCTGAACTGAAATATGGTGTTTTTAATAAAATTTAGCGAGGAAAAAAATTTAGCTTTTACTTCTTTTTTTTTGTTTTTGTTTTAAATTTTTAATTGCTATTTTTTGTTTAATATCATTTACATGTGTTAAAACCTGATCGATTGACTTAACAGGTGTCATGATAAGTCAATCGATCAGACAAGTTACGAAGTTCGAATCATCTTTCTTTATAGAATAAGATATATCAAAATAAAAGTTAAAACGGTTAAATTTAAGTTTAGATTTTTGTCTATTGCGAAAGGTTTAAATAAATAAATTAGTTCTTTATAAGACCATCTCAAATGTATTCTTCTATTTTTAACTCTAAAATAGAGGAACTCTATAAAAAAGGCGGATTTCCTTCCATTGTATTTTTTAATTCTAAACTAAATATATTTTCAGTATATTCTATTTTTTTATTATTAATATTCTCTATTTGTAAAAAAACAGAGTTTAACTCTAGTTGTTTTATTCTTTACAAAACCTTTATAAATTATGATATTATTTAAATTAAATATCTATTTGATAAATAAAATTATATTACATCAAATAAAAACTAAAAAACATAGTATATTTTGATTTAAAATTAATATTGCTATATTTTTATCGTGTCACTAATGTATTAAGTTATTAGTCTTTTTTGTGCCAAAATGAATAAGAGTATATATCAAATTTGACTTTTTCTTTGACTAATACATGTGAAATTAACTTTGTTAACTTTTATTGTATAAATTTGAATTTATATTATTTATATTGTTTGTTTTAGTTTTACATAAAAAATATTGAAACTTAAAAGACCATTTTATAAATAAAAAATTAACTCTATTTTTAAAGTAAAAATAAGATTACTGAATATAAATGAAAAATAGAGAAATGCTATTTTTAGAGGTGGAAATAGAGGTGGGTTAAAAACGATTTTAAAAAAAAATATATATAGAATCAAAAATAAAGATATGTTGGAGATACTCTAGTAATTATGTAAACATATATAAAATTCAGAAAATATAGTTTAAATTAAATTGCAAGCCTCGCAATGGAGTGTATGAGCAGCCCGTCATCAACATTGTTAAGGACAGTAGCATACAAACAAGAGAAACACTTTCCCCTAAAAACTTGACCCGACATATGGATATACGACCCTGATTACCGCATTCGACATGTATTTTTTATAATTAAACCCTTCTCTCCGTGGAGAAAAGAGGACAAATATTCTTTGCCAAAATACACAATACTTTTACTTCTGAAAAAACGTTCTGTACCCAGAAAACCTAAAAGATCTTTCAGATTGCATTTCCGACCAGTGGCGATCTAGAACTTTTTTTAATCGGGAGCATAATATTTTAAATAACAAAAATAATTTATATAAAATATTTTAAATTACAAAAAACCTACAAAGTTATCCTATAAGGCTTCGTATTTTGAAACATTTTCATCACTACTTCATTTGTCACTTTTATAAGCAATTCTTTCTCAACAAAACAATCAACACAATCAATTAAAAACTGATCATTCATTCGGTTCTGTAAGACATCTTCACAATCTTCATCCCAAAAAAATATCTTCAACTGTAGCAGTAGCTACATATATATTTTGTAGCAACCAATACAAACTATGCAGTCTGGATCGTTCTGAACCATATATACAGTCGTCGATCAGCTAGCAAACAAGACAAGAAACATATGTGAAAAACAACTCCAGTGCATCGTATAGGGTTGAACTGGTGGATCCATATTCCACCGAGTACCAAGTGCTAGAGCCGGTATCCTAGCCCGAGTTAGGTAATCTCTTTAAATACACTCCTACTGGATCCAATTTTTAGTATCTAGCTTTGTGTTGTAGGAAAGTTTTCTGCTAGAGGACGAAAAAATCCCTTAACCACCATCTTAACTTTCATTTAACTTATTCATCAAGTTAAAACCCATTTATTATGCTGTTCTAATTAGTTAAACTTACAAACCTTTATGTATGAACGGCCACTAACTTGTACTTATAGTCAAGGGTCTGTCATCAAGGATCGTAATGACTTTATGTAAATCATAGTAATGAGAGATATATTCATATTTTTGTCAGTACTAATAGAACCAAAACAAGTAATCATACTATATTATTTAAATCAGTTCTAACTAGTGCGAAAAAATATCAAATTCAAACTACAAGTTCAATGACATTGAGATTAACAAGAATTATCGTTAAATTAAATGTAAACAATTTGCCATGAACGTCCAACGCACGATCCGTTAATAATATGTTATTGAGCTTCGATAGATTAGTAGTCATGTCATTAACACAATCAGTTGACTAAACAGTAATACTATATTATATTATGTTATATACCATATTGCTAAGTTATATGGGCGTTCAATTTAAAACTAATTAGCAATGAGTAAATTGGCTTATATCTCTTATATATTAATTAAAATCTCTTATAATTTCTGATATGAATTAATATTTTTTAATACGTTCCTCAAGATGATTATTCTTTCGTTGTTGATCTTGGTATGTTCAAACATGTATTGATGTGACCAACTTTGGATGGGGTTGATAATCGAGTTGGACAGTACGAATCAAACACTGATATCATGTTAATTTACTTAAATTTTCAACTCAAAACCAATTGATAATAATATGGATTGGTTCATGTTTCTATATATTAGTCAAAATCTTTTCTAACTTTTTGGAATAATATTTCCTAAAATTTTTAGTATCTAACTTTGAGTTGTAGGAAACCTTTTTGCTAGAAGACCAAAAAAATACCTTAACCACCATCTTAATTTTAATTTAAGTTATTAATCAAATTAAAACCCATTTATTATGATGATCTAATTAGTTAAACTTACAAACCTTTATGTATGAACGGCCCTTTACTTATACTTATTGTCAAGGGTCCGTCATCAAGGATCGTAATGACTTTATGTAAATCATACTTGTAATGAGAGATATATTCATATTTTTCAGTATTAAAACCAAAACAAATTATCATACTATATCATTTAAATCAGTTTTATGCGAAAAAATATCAAATTCAAACTACAAGTTCAATGACATTGAGATTCACAAGAATTATTGTTTAATTAAACGTAAACAATTTGCCATGATCGTCCAACGCACGATCCGTTAATAGTATATTATAGAGCTCCGATAGTTTAGTTGTCATGTCATTAACACAGGAATCAATTGACTAAACGATAATACCATATTATACTATGTTAGGTACCGTACGACTAGACTCATATTATTAAGACAGTAGGTGTTTTCTTTAACGCCATTTGTACTAATTTTCCCTGCGCGAACTTGAAATTTATTAAAATATAAATTTAATAAGTTATTGTCGGGGACGGATTTGTTGGTGGAACATGTTCACCGTGATTCGGTCATTAACGAACGCATTAAGCTCGGTTGGACAATTTTACTTGGGTCAACAAACTACTCTGAAACTATGTTAAGTTTTTAATTCAAAATTAATAGACAATAAGTGGCCAAAATCTTTTATATATTAATGACAGTTCCTTTAAACTTTTGATGTGGATTCTTAAACTAAATAATTTTTTAAGAATGTACTCTCGATTTTATTCACATTTTCAGCAAAAAAGCTTAACATGTTTTTTTTTGTACAATGCGGTTTCACTTTTATTAAATTTTATTGTGAATAAGCACAAAACAAACTTAAAAGAAAACAAATAACCAAAAAAAAGGGTAAATTAAGGCAAACATCTGTTTAGAATTTCTTATTGATTGTGTAAATGAATTATCACAAACCCTAAATCTTATATTTATAATCTCCAAAACCCGATATTTAATTCCACTCGATAAAGATTTTTTTTTTTACCAAGTCCAATAAAAAAACCGTAGAGTATGAGACTTTGACCCGTTCCATTTCTCAATTCGCTCTAGCAAAACCCATTTAGCTGTATTTGTCACCAAAAAACAACAAAATTTATATTCATTAAAAAAATGAAGTTTCACCCGTACTAAGCTTTAATGCCTTGTTGTAGGCTATGGATTTCACCCGTACTCAGCTTTAATGCCTTGTTGTAGGCTATGGACACTCTTTATAATAGTTGAAAACGACTAATCCATATCTAAACTATGAAATTTGGTACAATTCATACCTGAGAAATTTAAGTGTACAATTCCATACATGAATTCCTAAAACTTGGAAAATATATATCCAGACTAATCTTTTCGCGGTGAATGTTAATATTGACCAAGTACCCGTCAGTCAACCCTCTTATTCTATTAACGGAGAGATGCCCTTGCCACATTGGCTGCCCCATTGTCACATGAACCTTACCCAAAACAACGTCGCTTTAGGGCCCAATTATCCAAAACAATGTTGTTTAAGGTTCCCATGACAAGGGACAGCCAACATGGCACAGGACATCTTTCCGTTACCAAAATAAGAAGATTGACTAACGGGTAATTAGTCTATGTTGATATTCACCAACAAAAAATTAGTTCAGGTATGTATTTTCCGAGTTTTAGAAGTTTGGGTATGAAATTACACACTTAAATTTTTTAGGTATGAATCCGTACCAAATTTTATAGTTCGGGTAGGAATTAGCCATTTTTCCGTATAGTGGTTTGCATGCTAGAATATCTTTGAAAGCTGGATATGATGTTCTTCAACCTTCATAAGGATTATTCCAACAAAGCTTTATCCACATGATGTAGTTGGATTGGTAGTCATAAAATAACCTCCAAACTTCTTTGGCGTCGTGAGTAAGTATAGACTGGAATGGAGTTCATAAGGAAACAAGTGACAAGAAAAAACATCGAAGCAAATCAGTATAAATTCATAAGGAAAGTAAAATTAATTTTATTTAGTGCAGAGTAACAAATACAAAAGCATATAGGATAAAGTCATCACCGCATAAATAGCAATAACACAACATAGAACAAACTAATAATAAATCATAAAGACGTGGAAACCATTTTAGAGCGTCCGTTGCTCTCTTGCCCTAAGGAGAACGTAATGGAGGAGGTGCATTTCCATCATCCTTTTTGTCGTTGAGGTAGGAAAGAATCGCAACAGTGGACTGTAGCATGGTAAGAAGAATAACGAAAATAACAGCAAACGATGACAGACAAGTCCACGGGGACTCAAAATGTGTGTGCCTAAAGCCTGCCCATACTCTATTGTACCATTTTGATGTGTACTTGTTAACTCCCTCAAACTCATTCCGTAAGTAACTTTTACTTATGTCAAATACAACATCTTTACTTATATTTTTAAAAAACTGGGATACCTCATTCTCGCTGCCAAAGTAGTTCTCTATGATCTCCTTGTCGTTGCTCAAGAAAGCCGCATCTTCCTCGCCTTTTAGAAGGCATCCCATGAAAACTACGTAGCTTGTTATGTGGTTGGTACTCTTTGTATAAAACTGTTCATAGGCGACACAGTTGAGGAAGATTGGGCTGATGAACTCATCGAATCTTAACAGTGGTATTTGAAGCCTGTTCTTCTGTAGTCTTATATCCAATACCGAATCTGCATCACTCCTAATCCTGAACTTTATCCCACGGAGGCGAAGTCTTTTGGCCGATAAAATGAATTCTTTTGATGAGGATGATGTTGTTTTAGGTTCAACACCTGACGTCGCTGACGTTGACGTTGTTTCAGATTCTCCCATAGTAGGTATGAAGGTCTTACGAATGAGATCAAGAAGATGTTTTGCCTCGAAGTTTGTTTGGCTCACACGATTCCTTTCTGGTATATCTATTGAGGAGTTAAAGAAAGGATACACCATCCTGTTTACATCACCAGAGATATCTATCTTTGATATTTCCAAAAGAGTTTTAAGAACACTGAAAGGAACCTGATTTTCCAAGAAGAGAAGATCACTCTTAATAGACGGGAGAATCCACGGGATCGTGAAAATTGGATCCTCTTTCTTATCAAAGTCAATAACTCTTGACTCGATAAGCAACAACATGAGAATGAAGCACCCATCCAGAATCATCATATGCACTAGTTCCGATGAAGTTTTCCGAAGTTCCTCAGAATAAGAAGTCGTAATAGTTTCTTTCAAATCCATTACGGCCTTAAACAAGACGTTTTCTTCCACGTTCTTTTCTCTTGCCTTATCTAGGAAAAGCTTCCGAAACCGAGGCTTGTGCTCTTGAATCATTTGGAGGTGCTTTTCTCCGTAATGGTAAGGACCAATTGAAACAACTTTGGGCTTGTAGGCTTCGGGGTTCACTTCTGCAAGGCGTTCAGGAATTCTGAAGATGCAACAAGATTCTTTACCAGCTGATTCCTTGAGAAGCAGTGGATCTAACTCTTTCTTAGACTGTTCTTTGATATAAGTTAAGATAGCATCCTCATCTTTGCTATATATAACCCCTGAACTGTGCGAAGATGATGAAGTTGTTTTCGTCTTGTTTGCCATGATTCAGTTCTACTTGGATCCTGCTTTCCTCTGTTAAGAGACAAGATCGCCTTTAAATTTAAAATATAAATCGAGATCTTGATTGGAGAAGAAAGCGAAGATCTTACTGTGAGGAGTTGGATTAGTTGAACCCTGAGTACTGCTCTCTTGACTCTCAGAGAGGCGAGGGAGAAACGTGTAACCAAAGTCCGGATCAATTAAAAAGTCGTTTCTTTCTCATTGTTCTTTTCTACGGGTATTTAGTAAATAACTACATATATGATGAAATTAATAATAATAATAATATAAGATAGATAGCAAAATAATTTCCATGTCGTGGAAGTCAAAGAACACTAGAACAGGATATAGTGTTTTGTTCTTCAGCTAAATCACTTGTTGTAAGTTTTTTTTCAAAAATTAGTTTTGAGTAAGATATTTGGGATTTGCATGCTCCAAGCCTCCAACTTAAATGAGATCTTAGAAAATATACACGATCATTTCATGTGTAGGAATATTTTTTTTATTTCTGTTTTGCTATATACTATAGGTTTAAGGTAACTTTACTTTGAGGTTATATATAGTTTGAGATTCACATTTGTAAATTTTTTTAAAAATAATATATAAATTTTTAATATAAAATTAGCATTTATATTTTATTTGATTCAAATAATCATCAAAAATCAAATATTATATGGATCTTAATATATTGTTAAAACTAGATTAGGTACTCGGTGATAGGTGAATGAAAAAGAAAAATTGATTACTCCCTTCTTATAATTTGATTTTAAAGTCAAACACTTGTTTAGTTATTGTTTACGGGATTTTTAATTAATTTCTTTTGGAGCAAATCTTCTCTATAAAATAGGAGAAAGCATGAAGGTTTAGAAAATATCTCAAAATATGATGATAAGGTGTTTTTCGATGGCACTCCAATACTAAAGTCAGAAAACAATAAAAGAATAAATCACTTAGCGACAAATTAGAGAAGGAAAAACAGAAAGTAAAAGCAGGGTGTGAACTCTTAGGATCTACATAAGCCTGAGTTTAGTGGGTTCTTTAAGGTGAACAAAAAAAAGAAGTGTATAAATTTGGGGGTAAAAATGCTCCATAGTTTAAGAACAACAGTGAAGTAAAGTAGAAGTGGTCAGAATGATGATCGAAAATTGAGAGTGTTATGCCTTTTGAGTTACTAGTATCTGGAGAGATACCATAAACTCAAAGGTAGCAAAAATATTGAACCGCTTTTTCGTTAGAAAGTGTTAAATATTTATAAAATTTTACCTGACCCGAACTAGTTTACAGGATCGAACCTTACGTTGTCGGTTTTGCGGGTTGATCTGGGATCCAACACAATTGGATCTGAATCTTGATATTTGCATCATTCTTGTGATGGTCTCATCAACTTTCTTCGGCGTCTTCTGCCAACTATGACACTAGCCCTTGGCGTGTCTCTTTCACTCTCAGCATACGAGTTGGGGTTCGGCGGTTCAAACGCATATGATCTTTCCTAAGCCTCTATTTTTCTCTGTATTATGTGAGTGGTCACTATCACCAGATGTGTAAGCATTAAGCATTAAATGTTGATCGCATGGATTTACAAGGGTATGTGCAATCGAATCAGTAAAACTCATATTCCAATTATCAAGAGAATGAAAATTTGAATAGTTTTTCCCGCTTAAGAAAATATTCAGACCTAGCCTAGATTTATTGATACTAGGATTGAGCTATCAGGATTTTCTCGCTTGCTGTTTTTTCTCTCCGGGTATCTGTACGAATTATCCTTCTTTATATCCCGATCCTTCCAGATCAGTGAGCTTAGGTCTATGAAGTAAAGAAGTCAACCTCTCCTCCTCCTGACTACTCAGTTCCTGACTTTCTTGTGTCTGAAAGCGTGGTCTGCACTATCAGTTACGAGGAATCCGAGAACAGTTGGCTTTTATGCCGGATCTCCCAAATCCGATGGATTCGAGACTCGGTGCTATATGCTTAGGTTGTATTGGACCGTAAGCCAAATACAAAATCTAATTTGGCCCGAGGGGCCATACCTACAAAAAAACCATGGACGCTATGTGCAAACGAATCTTAAAGAGAACATACGGGAATTAAAATGACCTAATAACTAAACTTAACGAAAACGACTAAAAACGAGAAAAACGGCTAAACCTAATTGCTATATGAAAATCGATTGAAAGAGTTAAGATACTATACTAAAGCTTATATAAAAATCGGTGTAAATCTATAGGAAAGAAAGCGCTGGGGTTCAGGGAAGTTTTCTCAGGGGTATGAACGATTCAAAACATTGCTAGAGAGTAAATTTGATAAGATCTTAGCTTAAACTTTTTGAACTGGAGTCACGGACGTATGAATATGCCACTGTCGTGATCATAGACAACTATCTCTCTCAACCCTGACAATTAGGTTTCCACTTTGGCCCTGGAAAAGATGAGATGCATTATGTTTAAGACTCGTCAGCATTCACAAATCGCCCATAGGTAGGTTTCCACTCCTATATTTGTTTTGCTCTCCCAAACTAGATCTGACACCGGATGAACCAGCAAGCATCTGGATCAGATTGTAGTTCATGATGCTACTCTCATGCAGTAAAAACGAATTCAGAAGAAAAAGTTCTAAGATTCGGCTCAATAGCTCATGGAATCCTCATCGAACATAAGTATCCCCATCGAAAATCCCTTGTACCCAACAATAAAACTACTCAGACATGATGAACGAAATCAAAAACATAATATTAAAAAGTAGTACAGAAACCGAAATTGAAAAAGAAAGAACAATGGTTCAAGAGATAGATCTCTCTCTCCCTAAAACCTAAAAACAAAGCTTAAAGTAAAATTTCTGTAAAGTATTTTGTCTCTCTTCTTCTCTCCAAAAAACGACCTAAATGATATGTATTTATAGTCTCTAATACTCTCTGGTGTCTAGGGTTCCGGAATTGAGGCTGGAAAAATGATATGGGCTTCAGAAATGGGCCTTCGAACTCGGAGTTGCCTGGTCGCGGTTGGGAAGTGCGTGACCGCGGGGAATGGATGGCTGGCCGCAGTCGGGAAGGTTGTGACCGCGGGGAATGGGTTGTTGGCCGCGGGTGGAAATGCTTGCCAGCTGGTTTACGGGACATCTTGCTCTTCGCGTATCTTTTTATTGAACCGTTGGATTGCCAAGCTGTAAAGTGTGCTGGAAAGCTGATACATCCATCTTTGAGATCTCCAAATTTGAGCTGGATCGGACGGTGAGAAGGCCTTCAATCGGGGGTGAACTTCTTACGGTTTGACTCTAAGCTGAAAATCCGGTCTTCTATCCATTTTCTTAAGCTTTTCCCTAAATTTCCTGAAAAGAGTCTTGGAACTACAAATATTAGAAAAATATAATAAAATTACTTGAAAGCAATTAAAAACATAAAAAAAGTATTTCAAAATGATCCATAAAAGTGGTCATAATACGGTGTAATCACCTGAATCTACTTTGTCGATCTGAGGCGCATGACGCCTTTTCGATGAAGGACACAATGCCTGAGTCATCTACCGTGGACAGTATGATCTGGGGCCATGAGTCTGTAGTGAAAGACGCGTTAACTAAATCAAACATCATAGCTGAAATGACCAAGGACCGTGGGCTACAAAAGACGCGATGCCTGAATCACCCGCCGTAAGCAAAGTGACCTGTAGCCATGGGCTCAAAAAGTGAAGAGCACAATGTCTGACCGTCATATTGGTTCCAGAGGAGGTGTCCTGCCCGCTTAGTAATATTCCATGGCCGATCCTTTAGAGATATTCAGTTCTCTAAGGGAAAGTCGTCCACCACAGAACTTACTATAAGTTGGCAGACTGATCCGCAGAGGATGTCAGTCCAAGACTGTGTTACACAATTAAAATTTCCAAAAGATAGTTAGGCTGTGCGCAGAGCAGCATGCCCCAGGATGATCCGATTAAAGAAGACCATTCTTGCGACATGGCATCAACGGGCAGACTAAGCCTTGACTGGGCTGACCTTGTCGGGATAAACACCACGTATGATCTTGGGTCTTCTCTTCATTTCTGGCTCATTTTTTAGTTCCTCGCCTGGTTAGACTCTGCGACTTTTTCAAGCCCACCATGATCCTCTTTGGGTCGCTTACTGGGCTCGTCATTGGGCTTCTACGCCGAATAATCTTTCTTAGGGTCCACTCTACTGCGCGTGCACCTCATGATGTATGGCTTCTCATCAAAGGAGGCTTTCGCATCCTTTTTATGCCTCTATTTTCGTTCTTCAACATGTGCTGCATTTGACTGGCTTTTCCTTGAAGACAGTTTATGCGTCTCCTGTACGTCTCTTTTGACACATGTTATATCCGTGTGATATCTGTTAGATGTCTCTTTACAATTTATGTTGTTTCTTTTGACGGTATCTTGAGTGTTGGTTCTCGCGAGTCTCTCGATCATTCCGACATATGTCCAACCTGTTGTACATAGTCTAGCCGCTGCTTCTACCCAGTTTTGTTTTCGTCATTTTATATGTTCAAATTTTGCAGACCTTTCTGATTTTACCATGCGTTGCTTTCTTCAAGGACTGGTGACTTTTGATGTTTCACTTGCCCTTCTTCAGATCCTTCTATTTATTCTACTATCTGCCTCTTCCTCCCTTCATTCTTCTTCATCTTTTTCCGCTTCAGTTTTATTATCTCGCAGAATTTTTTTTTACTAGACATTTCCCTTTCGCATCCATAGCCACATCTAATCATCTCTTCTCATGCGACGCCGTCTTCAACCACTATTTTTCTCTCAGAGAAATACATCTGGGCATCACGGGCCAGCTTCGCAGGACTGGAGATTATCATAATCCTCACAGTCCTTTCCCGGCTCCCCTCTTCCAGCTCCTCGAGAGGTTGTGCGACTCGATCTTTCTTCTGTATCATCGGATTGTGAGGATGTCATCGATGGATTCTCCTAGTCAGGCTTTTCAACCTCATGGTTCCATTCAAAGGCTAAAAGAAGCTCGAAGAATCTTCGAGGAGTACATCGAGAGGAGGCACCACTCTCCTGCCCCCATTGACCTATTCGTCTGATGGCTCAGAGGAGGTGAATTCAGCAGACTTATATTGAGGAGTCTTTTTTAGAGGTCGTTCGTCATTCTATAGGCTTTTTTTTCTTTAATTTTTTTTTTCTTCTTTTTTTGTTTGTTTGTACTTTGCTGTTTTCTTGGATAATTTGA